AGGTGGTCAATAAATATGATACAAATAACAATAGCATTCTTATAAAATATATAGAACAAATACTATTTAAATTCCTCCTTAAAAAGGCATGTAAACGCTCCCCGTCTTTAATCTAAGTTTTCTTTTCTTTTTTGACTCCTTTTGCGGCACACCCACCAGGGGACGGAGGAGCTTCACATAGTTATTAGAGCGGCGGTTAGGCCCTAACACAACAAAAGTCATAACATGTGATTTCAATTAAGCCATCAACAAAGTTAATCATACTTAATTATTACAGACGTGCAATGCAACCTCTCAGCCTTTATATCTGGTACTTTTTCTTATATTGATTCTTTTTGCTAACCCAATACATGGAAGTAGCTAGATTTTGAGAAACTTATCCATGCACATGGACACCCTATTGGAAGAACCTTTTTCGATCTTTCAAGTTCTAAGTTTTATTATTATAAAGCTAAACTTACTGCGTTTATGTTTTATTAAACATTATAAGAGTATACAATGGATAGAATGAAACCGTCCGAAACTCAACGTGAAAGTGAGGAACGATAGGACAATCTTAAAAGATTCGCGGCCTAAACTAAACACGAGAAAACTAAGAAAACTAAAACCAAAACGTACAATTAGAAAAATTAATCCCTAGATATATTCCAGGCAAGAAAAGTACAACAATTAACATATTAATTCTAACATGTTCTTGTGTCTTGGTCAAATATGATGGATTGTTTTTTGATATTTTATTTTTCTTATATTCCTGCATTTTAATCCTTTGGGATTAGCGTAACCTAATTTGTAACTTTGTTGCTTACCCTATAATTATTATATTTTTGCTTATTATTCATTTACGCAAAGCCATTTTATTGGTCTTGCAATGTAATTATGTTAGTGCAATCGTAATAAATTATAAATAAATTATAAATCGAATAAAAAAAGCTGACGGTGGATGAAGATTTAACTTTAGATATGGACCATATGGTTTGGACAAGCCTTGTCTCAACTTGCTTGTGGCATGCAATTGCGCGTGGATCCAAATCCAAAGAGGAAGGGAGAAAATAAAAAGACAATATCAGGCCAAAAAAAAAACAGTAAGATTTTAATATGTTGGGGTGGTTCCACTGAGTCAAAGCACAGATTGCAATATATGCTTCTTGGGTTCCTCAATTGTATTATTTCTTCTTTTAGGGACCATTTTCCTTCTTTCTATATCAATTTTTTTCTTCTAGTGGGAACCAAAAAGATCGACACATAATCCCCAAATAGTGTGTTTGACTGATTTTGCATTGCATACCAACAATACAATTAGATAAATTTATTTGCGGCATAATCTTTGTATGGCCTATCATATATTATTTTTCAATGATTTGAACTGTCTAATTTTAAATATTCTCTCAAAAATTATCTCTGCAAAAAATCACTTCAGTCTAAAATCATTTGATCACTCAATTAGATTGTTTATTTTAATCTTTTCTTAAAACACCATATTTCATCGATTTTGTTGCTTGCAATTAGATACATTATTTTAAATTTATTTGGTTTTTGCATGATCTATGAATAAAGGGTATCTATCGAATAAAATTATTTGACTAATTCCATATTATATATATAATCTAATCAATGAAGTGAGGGGAAGTCAAGTATTTGAGATATCTTCCAACATAATTGAGTAAATATTAAAGTTGTCATTTTTAGATGAAGTCCTTCATGTCAAATGCTTTGAGGATATTCTTTTACTTTATTTATAATTAAAAAGTGGTTTATAAGTTAACTTTCAAGATCGTACTTGAGAAAACACAAGTTGATTAAAACAGTCGCAAAAAAAGTGGGGGGAAAAAAAAGCAAGATGACAAATTATTATGGTGGAAATAGTGTGATCTCCTCTCTCTCTCTCTCTCTTTCTCTTCACGAGACTCGAGATGACACGAGGGTATGTCAGTTGGACCGAAGCATGCATTTGATTTCATTCTTTTTTCTTTGAAATGTTTGACTCTGTTCTCTTCCTTTCTGTCTCATTTTTGACTCTTGACTAGAAAAGATTGACCAAATTTTGGGAGGACTTGAAACTCCCCTGCTCATTGATATATGATCTCATGCTGATGCTAGGCTAAGTTATATTAACCCAACGACTTTTAATACGAAATTATTACGTATAATTAGAGATAATATCTATTTTTTTAATAATATTCGTTTATCACGTGATAAAAAGATAGTCAGAATGTAAACAACTAATTAGTATTAATCTGTAATAAATATGGATCTTCTTATCTCTCCCTCTCGCACGATCCTAGTTAGCGGTTAGCATCAGCCTCATCTTCTGTTCAAACTTGAGACCCTGCACCATACTATATAAGCTGGCCTTTTGTTGTTCGACAGGCACAGAAATAAAGCTGATGACAATAATCTTCCTTGAATTTTCCCAAACATGGACTTCTTTACGTTTCACTATGAGCATCACTCACTAGGCCAAATTTCTACCAGGTCAATCTTTTTTGGTATATGGAAAATTCAATTACAAACAAAAGTCCTTTGAACTATGACACTCCAACTTAACTCCTAAATTATTTTTTCAGTTAATTTAGTCCTAAAACTCATTGTAAATAACTAATTTCACTCTTACCGTTAAGTTTTTTGAATTTCACCTAATTTTCCGTCAAAATGTCACATACGAAGCACGTGAGTATATTTTTTTAATCTTTAAAATACAAATGAAACAAAATAAAAACAAAAACACAAGTATGTCTTTTTCGGATACTCTGATCTCTGTGTACGCAAGATCTATGCCATGGATTTCAATCTAAGAAATCCCTGCCCCACAAATCCAAGACATTTGGAAGAGAATCTAAGAAACCGACATGAATGAGATCAGACCAGCAGATCTAATTAGATATCTTAGAGCTTAGGTCTGCCATCCTCTAGACCACGCTAGCGGCGAACGCTATAGCCGCAAGCCCACCTTTGTCTGCAATGAACATGAATATGATCTATATTTGTTTTCATATCTTCATATGTCATTTACATGTGTGTGTCATGCATTTTATCCAAGATCAACTTTTAATACTCTTTTATTATCTTTATGTTGATAGAATTTGAGTTATGCTTACTTAAGGTATTATATTTGAGATATTGAAATTTATTTTCCTATAAAAACTATATTTTCATTCTAATGAATTCTTAAATATATTTTTCTATAAAAATTAAGTTTATTGTAATTATAAAGTTATTTAATGTTAACCATCCTTGATAGAATTTCTGGTTCCGTCACTGTCCCTGACTATGAGCCACACTCTCTCTCTCTCTCTCTCTCTCTCTCTCTCTGCACCCAACCTTCACTTCTTTCATGGATTTTTTTTCTTCAGTTTTTACATAAAATATGTCCTTACAATTAACGGCAAATTGAATGGAGTTTTAAAAACTTAACTCAAAATCTTAAATTGGCTATTTATATAAGTTTAAGTACTAAATTGGTTGAAAAAATAATGGAGTTTTAAAAACTTAACTCAAAATCTTAAATTGGCTATTTATATAAGTTTAAGTACTAAATTGGTTGAAAAAATAATTCATGAGGTAGAGTTTGACGAGGATGATAATTATTTACCCTTTTTGTTTTTGTCTGAAGAATTATTTACCTTTAAAACAATTATTTTTCACTATATAATTAAGCTGCAAATATATATATTTTTTATAGGCAAACCGTCCAGAAAACTAATGAACTATTATCTTAATTAATAGAGTTTAATCAGCAGGGAAGAAAAAGGCAGCACTAGATCAATCAAGTGCTATAAAGTGGTGATTGCACGTGCAAGCCATGTGGTCCCGGAAAAATGAGAGAATCATTACCCGTGGGCTGCAGGGTCTCTCCTCCTCAACCCGTGCGTGTGGTGGCAAAAGGCTACGTGAAAATATGATGGTCTTTATCTACAGGTGGCCAGGTGGGGTTGAACCACCAGAAGGGATAGGATTGGAATCAAATCAAAATAGCCAGTAGCAGTAGGTTATTTTGTTATATTTCTATTTATATCAGTGTACTCCATCCTAAGTTATATTAGATTTGATAAGAGTTTAAATTAAGTTATACATTGGGTTCAAAATTTTGTAAAATAAGGAAAGTTTTGAAGCCAATTAAAAGGATCCTATTTATTTCATTTTGTGTGAACCGTTGCTTGATAAGCTTTGAGTGTTAGTCAAATCGGCATTTGGTGATGAATAGAGATGATTTGACATAGTCCTATATAAGCTTAAGAACCAGCTCTCGTTAAACAAGTTCTCTAACTCTAATCTCATCATAAAGAGAGAGCTGAAATAGTTTCTGAGAGAGAACAGAAATCTTAAGCCGTTCGTGTCTTTTGCTTGTTTTTTATATGTCAAATGTTATCATAAATGTTTTTTTAAGTATTATAGAATCTTAGTAGTGTATGTGTAAGATTATCTATTCTCTTTCTTCCTTTTTTACTTTAGGTTTTTTCTCTCTTTTCTTCTCTCTTGTATGTATAAAAAAAAAAATAAATTAATTTTTTTTTTTTTTTTTTTTTTTTTTTTTTTTTTTTTTTTTTTTTTAATAGTCCTAGTAGTATAATCATAACTCTTATTTAAAAAAAGAGAGAAATAAAAAGATCATTCAAAGGAAAAAGCCCATGTAATGTATTGGGCTTCGTATGCAAGTTGGACAGAACATCCCAAACTCGATAATTCCTTGACTGAAAACAAAGTAAGATAATAAACCAATCTCAAACAATATCAAAATGCTGCACAAATAATGAGAAGCTCAAATGTAAGAAGGAATTGTGAGTGCTCAAAATTCCAAATCACATCGTAGTTTATTCATTTATTTCATTTAATCCTTCTAAGTTCTAACCACTGACCACTCACATAATGCAGAAGATCAAAAAGTCCAAAATACAAAACCCTGTTACATGTTATTGCAAATCTCAGTGTACAGCCTTCTCAAGCTTCTTTAATCTCTATAACAACTGATCAAGGCATTGGAAGAGAAATCTCACTTTTTCTTATCATTTCAGGGAGCTTTCAACATCTATCACGAAACGGTACTTCACATCTCTCTTTATCAGCCTCTCAAGAGCTTCATTTACATACTGAATTGGGACTATTTCTATGTTTGGATATATCTTGTGAGCAGCACAGAAGTCTAGCATTTCCTGCGTCTGCTTCGTACCGCCCGTTGCGCTACCAGAAATCGACTTCATACCTGACAAATGGTCAGTCGAATCTGGTTCATTAAACTGGCAAATTTTGTAGCCTAGGATGAATAAAAACTCTTGAGTATTGAAATTGCTAAACTTACCCCCAATCAGGCTTAGAGGACTCAATTTGACTTCACTTGGAGCCCCAACCAAGACAAGAACACCAGCAGTCTTCAACAGGGACATGTATGGATCAAATGGATGATCACCAGATGCTGTGTCAATAATGAAGTCAAGTGACTTAGCCAGGGCCTGCATAAATGGTAAAATCAGGGAAACATGTGGAGCTTTAGAAAGATGTGTCATGCACAACTTTTGATACAACAAACAAAATCTGTGCCATTGATTTTGTACTGAAGAAGTATTAATGGCACAGATCAATGCTGGAACAAGCATTATGTATCTGTACCGTCATCTGCTCTAGGTCGGACGAGACCACGAAATTGTCTGCACCAAGCAGAGTTAGAGCTTCTTCTTTCTTCGATGTGCTCGTGCTGAAAACGGTCACGTTTAGCCCAAAAGCCTTCCCAAATTTCACTGCCAAGTGACCAAGGCCACCAAGTCCAATCACCCCTAGAGATTTTCCGGGCTGGTTCATCTTGTGGCGCATCATCGGAGTGTAAACAGTGATGCCAGCACAAAGCAGAGGAGCTGCTGAGGCCAATGGATAGCCATCTGGTATCCGGAAGCAGTACCTATAAATTCAAGAACAAAATTTTACATCTTCCATCTGCTAATCAAGCAACTAATTTTGTTCGAACCAAAAAACAAAAACAAAAACAACCAATTATATATGTAGACATTTAGAAATCCAGACACCAATTCTGCATGTTTCAAAAGGAAAGTGGAGAAAACTTGCCCTTGATGAGCAACAATGTAACTGGAAAACCCTCCTTGTGTAATTGTGCCATCCTCATCAACATTGTTATAAGTATAAACTGCTCCCTTTTCACAAAAAACTTCAAGACCATCACCACAATAGTCACAGTTTCTGCATGAATTAACATAAGTTCCTATTCCGACATGGTTACCGACTTTGAAGCCACGAACATTGGAACCAACTTCTTGCACAATTCCAGCAATCTCATGTCTGTTGCACAATCAATTGAGAACATTTTTTAGATTAATAACCGCTAATTTTTTAGATTCGTGTAGCAGGTAGATTAAATCACATTCATTTAACGGTAATTATCGTGACAAAAATGCCATGGTAATAAATCACTATACATACCCGGGCACCATTGGATACTTTGCATTTCCATGCTTGTTCCTTGGAAAAAGCACATCAGCATAACAAATTCCGCAGTGTGTAATCTTTACGGAAACATCATCGTTTTGAAGAGACCTGAACAATTTAAATCAACTCAACCTAGCTAGTTCAACAACAAACTATCAAAAAACAATTTAGCTAGCCTAGCCACATGCAACCCAAAAATCATGATCAGTTCAATAGTATACCTTCGGCTAAACTTGTAAGGTGATAAAATTCCAGATTCATCTGTTGCAGCCCAACCCAAGCAGTCCCCATTTCCATTTGCACCAATATTTTCAGAGCTCATGATTTTGAATGGTTCCAAATTAATATGTATGTCGCTAGGAAGAAGGGCTGTGAGAGTTTTTGAAAGAGAATGGTAGTTTGAGGCAAGAAAATTATGCTTTTTGGGTTTTTGTGTTTTAAGAGAGACGCCTTAGTGTTGTGGACTATATAGACCAACGATGACGCAAGGGGATGCGTGATCATCACCTCTCACCCACGTACGCAGTGATGAGTTTTGAACTTTTATGGATCGTTTTTCTTACCAGTTATATCATATATGTGGGGCAAGAAGTTCTAGGATTTGTTTAGGCTTATATGTGTGAAAGGGTATGCTAGGGTGACCCTTTCTTTCTACCTTCTTTGTCTTCCTCTCCAATTTGCAATGTTGGAGGATAAACGAAATCATTCATTTCTGAGGTTGTTCTTCAAGGACCATTCTTGAAAAAGGAAAATCGATTAAATTGAAAATCGTTAAAGTCATTTGATTAATACTATGATAATTCAATGCTTAATCAAAACATTATGTTCATCTATTTAGTTGATAAAAATTAGATGAGTAAATAAATTTCAGTTTGGTTGAGTTTTTTAGAGAGAGAATTTTTAAACGGTGACTCAGAAGATAGGCAATTCTGATTACCAAATCATATCATATGATGTGTCACTCTCACCCACCCATATGTATGAAAGTTCAACTTTTTCATGTGTATGAAAGTTCAACTTTTTCATGTGTATGAAAGTTCAACTTTTTCATGGAGGCAGCAAAAAGAAGAGAAATCAAGTGGGTGGTCTAGAACAAGATAAATTAAAATAATAAATCAACCTCAACCTCAACCTCAACCAATATACATATATAAATTATCTCACAAATGAAGGCTCAAAATAAGAATTAAATTGAATGCTGAAAGTCAACTCTTGATAAAGTCCACATCGTATGGAACTTTATTTAATATCCACTAAAAAAAAAATCAACAATTGTTACCTTTTTATTGGTGTGTGAAACTCTATATTTTTAATATATAATTATCTTGGTTAAATATATATTAGTATGTGTAATTATCTTGGTACGTATATGTAAATATTGTTGTTATACTTTTATATTAATTATTATATTATTATAATAATACTTATATATTTATATCTTATTACATATATTATTCTATTTTATATATGTGTATTACATATATGCTTATCCTATGATATATATGTATATGTTTTAAAATAGTTCTTGTTAATACGTGTCAAAGCACAAAACCTGTTAAGTATCAAGGATATCAACTCACCGAGAAGATATCATATTTGTACCATATTTACTGATTATCCTGGAAGAGTCACAAAAACATTCTTCCTTATCTGCAACTACATTGATAACTATTACTTGGACAGTAAGTTTGTATCAACCGCCAATAAACCATCCAATAGGAAATCACTTCCTGCCGACTTGTTCCTTGTATATATATAGGACATTAAGTTGCACAACAAGTGCAAACAAAGGAAACGAGAAAGAAATAGTGGTAGAGAGAAGTAAGAAAAAGAGTAGGAGACATGAGTTTGTGAATGCGATGGAAAATTGGGAAACACCTTACAGTTCTAGCAAAAGCTTTGGTATCAAGGTAGGGGTTTCTTGGGGGCCTTTACGGGGATTGATCTAATTAAATTTCATGGGCTCTATATTATGTGTGATATTGTATAATGTTCTTGTATAAGATATTTACGTATTGTGAACTATTTGAATAATGTTGGCATAATTATATCATGTCATGGTAATTGGTCGAAGTTGTTGGAAAAGAGGGTAATGGGAAAGATCTTTTGTGTAGTGAGTTTAACTCTTGGCAGGTACCAGGTCTCAGGGATCCCACAGTGCACATGATTTTTATTGGGTGATTCGGGACTGGCAAAAGGGAGTTAGACAAGATGACTAACAAAAGGGGAATTATGAGATGATTGAAATGAGTGTTAGTTCATATAAATGGGCATTCGGAATCAAGCGGTATATGCATGGTATGAGACGTGCAGGTCTTCCTGTCCAGTTATATGAAATAACAGGAGTAGATGAAGAGCATTCATCCATGCATTAATATTATTAAGGTGATATTTGGCTATGTGATTGCATGTCACTTAATTTAGTTATATCAATCTACTATGGTAAGGTCTCATGTCCCTACTGAGTTGTGGTTGCTCACTCCTCACTCTGTTTAATTTTTCAGATGAATTAGTAAGCAAGAAAAGGAATAAACCAGTTAAGGCTGAATTAAATGAGAATGATAGAGCTTTATTTATTGTAAGTTGTAAGATTTTGGATCTATTTTTATAAGAGAAGTTTATTTTAAGCCCTATTTTGACTTTCTTTTTATTTTATTTTACTTTTTATTTTCTCACGCATCGGGCATGGGGTTTCCACCGACCCCCGAGTCCGAGGCGTGACATGGTGACTATTGGCATCATTAGTCACCTTTTTTGGTGAGTAAAAGCAATAATTATGGTGCAGTTACATTTTGGGCTTCGCTACATATGAAGCTGTAACTAGAACCTATTCTCACCATTTTAACAACATTCGTGACAAACACAAACGGACTCTTAACAACATCTAAAGATACAGTGGGGCCCATCATCCATCAAATCAACTTTAGTTTATAATATTTTATTACTTATTTCACTAGTTGGCGTATTTTTATCATTACGTGTTTGGATTCTCAATAGCATTTAAGTACAATGAGGCCCATCAAATTCAACAAATTGAAACTATGTTTGTGTATTAGATTTATTAAAAAGAATTACAATTTTCATTTGTATATTTCTTAGTTTTCATTTTTCAATAATTAATTAATAAAAATATTGTTTTTATTGATGTATGGTCTTTATTGTAAATTCAATAATTCAGTAAACAATTTGATAAAGATATTGACTTTCATTGCAATTTCTTCTAGTAGAGTAAACATTTCATAAACTTTGATTTCATAATTTTCATTACAATTTACACATATGAAGGATTAAACCTCCCAAAATATTAAGTCACTGGTAACTAAATATACAATCATTGGGATCTACTATCAAAACAACTAATTTCATCCCGCTTGAACTTGGTCTTCAATAAGGAAATGGCATACCCTAGTACCAACGAAGCAGTTATGATCAAAATACCAAACTAACATGTATTTTCGTATTATGAATTTTATAACACCAAAACACATATATGTTGATAAGCATGGTGTTAACAAAAAGCATAATGGTACTGCATGGTCTAGATACCATAAACTCTAACCATATTTTTCAAACTCTGAACACAGTGCCAACATTCCTTGCATGCTCCTCCTCTTCTGTCCCCCTTAGTACTAGTCTATAATCATCTTGATCAATTAATGTCTGGCTTGGAATGTAAGGTGAATATAAGGTTGCATTCATAATTTCTTCTAATATATTAGAATCAAGTGAAATGACCTGACCCAATTTCCACTTTGGAATCCGGGTCGAAACCTGTTTAAAACTGACACCTAGTAACCGTGGGTCGTAAATGACCAAAATGCCTTGAAAACAGTAACATAAACCCTGAGCCCCTAACTCGTGGCTGCGCCTGATAACTGTAGGCTGCCTACGTACCCTTACTGAGGGATCAAGCCACACGTAGTTCTTTCTCTGTTCTTGATTTGCAACTGGTTTGTTTATCTGTAACTGGTTTATTTATCCGTAAACTCGCACTAGGGCTGGAGTATCCAGGACTCCGTTTTACGATCTGTCAACTACTATACGATCCTGAAATTACCTAGATCAACATACTGGGACATGATTACGATCCAACGGTTCAAACCTGTTGAACCCGGGAATCACCCACTAGGCGAGATCCGTTCGGGGTTCAAACGTTATCTGAATTAAGATCCGCGAAATCCTACGCGCTCGTGGGGACTAGGAGATTATTCTAGGGCTGACTCTGGTCCTCACCCTGCTGCCCATGCGCCGCCACACGCTTCGGCAGCGCGTGGTGCCTAAAGCGATAACACTCCGCCGAAAAAAACTCTAAATCATGGCTCAAGACTCCTACCCTAGGTATAATACCCTATTTGGAGCCACTTTTATTCTTGGACCTACCCCAAAACTGGCCGAAAGTGGCCAAAATCTCAACCTGAAATCCTGCTAAACTTTGGATCCAAGATCGAGTTATCTACGCTAGAAATTTTTGAAATCCTATCAAACCAGCAGCTAGAGCTCGAGAAATAGATGAGTTTCCATACCTGGATCACCGGAAATGGTGGCCGGATGACGGAAAACGAGCCGGCGAAAGTTTATGAAAAAACTGTCTAACACCGCCTGTTTATTGGCTGTTTCCGGCTACCACGGCGGTGGATCGGGGCAGAAAAAGGATGGCGTTGGCAGAGGGAAGTGTGGTGGTTCTAACGAAACTGGTCTTGCTCGAATCGGGGTCGGAGTTGAGAGAAAACACCTCCCGAAGTCGGCTGTTCCCCCTGCCCGAAATGCAGAATTCTGGGTTTAAAACTACTAAACTTCGCAATATTTACGGTTATGCCACTGAACTTCTTTTGATCGTAACTCCTTCGTTACAACTCCGATTTGAGTCCACTACGTGTCTACAAACTCGTTTCGTCGCGCTCTACGCAACGATATAACTGAAATCCCCAAATTCTTTCCCAGTCAAAAAGTCAACTTTTAAATCATTAAAATATTCTAGAGATATAATGGTCTTTTATTGGAATAAATTAATAATTAAATATTAATTAAGGATCGGGTTGTTACACCAAGTGCTACCTATGGAGTGCTTAAGCAATTAGTTGGTGAAACATGTCCCAATAGCAATTTAGAATCAATGTTAGAAACATTGCTTGCACTAGCTAAAACCTTTTCCATGATGGCTCGTTGTTTCATTAAAAGTTGCTCCAAACGTTTCAGCTTTCCGTTGTGGCTCTCCCCTCTTCTCTCCAACCTTTTCTTTCTGTCAGCACACCCGACACACCCTCAGGTCTCACCCCTATGCCATATCCTCTCTCCCGATTACACTTCTCTCTTCCAAGCACTTTAGAATATACAATATTGATTTCCTCTGCTGTTACTTCATCTGGTAGTTGGTTTTGCTTCTTTTTATTCCTAATATCAATAATCTTTGAATTCATATATATATATATATATATATGTTAACTGTGCATTCTACTACATGGAGCCTCTATAACAAGCAACACAAGACAACATATCCTAAATACAATCAAATTCAACCTCACCATAGCTTTTGCAGCTGTCTCATTCATAGGTGTTCCATTCTTTCTTAAGTGGCACAGTTCAAACATTTTGCATCTGTCAGGGGAGACGCCCTTGTGATTCACCTTCTAAAATCTACTAGACATAGTTCACATATCAAATATCATTTTAATCATAGCACAAGTACCTAAAAGAAGTTTTTCTTAGGCCGTCCACAAAATCACTTGTTCATGGCCCATTAAGTAAAAATATTGAAAGTACATACCAGCTATCTTATGTTTTTATCATTTGTATACGATCAAAACATATGAGTATTTACATAACATGCTCCACATTAATTAACTAGAAAAATTGTGACACTTACATATTGGTTCCTCACTTGGGCATATGATTTTGTCCCCGTTGTGTGGTTCATCATCTTGCGCTTCAAACGATGACATTTATTTGTGACCAATTACATTTAATAAGCAATACTAAACTAAACATTCAAACAACTTTAAATATAAAAAAAGTTAACAAAACTAACCACTACAAAAAAGAAAGCATTAGTCACGTTTTTATAGCAACAAAATAGTTTTGGTGACATTTGAATGGGTGGTCAATGACTTTGGTTACTAGTCACCATTATTTGTGACTAATTATCTCACATTTTAAAGAATTGGTGAGTATTTATTTAAATATAATAATGTAAATCAACTGACACATGAACAGTAATTTATTGAATATAATATTTGAGGATAATATTCCTTGAGAGTAGTAATCCAATTAAATATGCATAGAACACAGTAAAAAGTAAATACGTATAAAAATAATAATTAAATATTACAATGGTTAACCATTAAAGTAACCCCTTTTCTTTAAAGTGTGAGATAATTACTTTGCTCCGGTTGAATTTTTAAAGGGCTTGCTTTTGACAACCCAGCAACCCCTTTTCTTTTGTAAGCTCTTCTCTCTCAAAACAACCCAGCAACCCCTTTTTTCTTTTTAGATCCGGTGGTTTTCACCCTGATCTCTCCATTTTTTTGGCTATCTCCTTGCTTTTGACAGAGTTTGTTATCTCCCTAGTTTTTCTAGCGCGTTTCTTTGGCTCTAGGCGGTCCTTTTAGATTAAATCTCAAATATGAGATGTTATATATCAGATCTGAGATGTTATATCTCATATCTAAGAGCTAGAGTAGGGCTTGCTTTAGTCATGGCTTTCCTTGTATTTTTTTTTTTTTTTTTTTTTTTTTTTTTTTTTACTTTTTTTTTAATATATAATATTTGATATTCTGTGATGTAGGAAGATCAAGTTCTACAGGGGCGGTGGAATTGCTAGAGGCGCCTCTATTCCCAGGTTTTTTAAAATTTATTTTATTATATTAATATACTCTGTAATTCGCCTTTTTCAATTTATGAGTTCTAAAGAAGTTGTTTTATCTGGGTTTCTCTTCCCTTGAACATTGGTGGGTTGGGGTTATTCATATAGATGAGTACAAGATTTCTATTTTCTTAGATTTTATTTTATTTTGATCTGCCCTTGTCTATGGTGACCAATGCTTTCAAAAGTCACGAAAAAAAAGGTGATTATTGCTGATTTTTTTTGTAGTGAACACAGCAGATTGAAAAAGCATGATGACAATTGCAATATAGTGACCCAGTTATTAATATGAAGAAAATAGTCAAGGAGTAAATTTTTTAAAATAATGGCACTCAAGCAACCCAAAAGGAAAAGAAAGAAGAAGAAAAAAATAGCATCAAACCAGCAAGGGAAGATTTGATACCTATTTAGAAAAATCCAACAGCAAAATCTTAAGTACTTTAGCCCTTCTTTCATTCCCTAATTTTCTCTTGAATATGGCCAAAACTAGTTTATGGCTGCAATCAGATATTGCACTCGGTTATTATGTATGATTAGATCTTATAGAACCAAAATTGAATATCAAAAACAAAATCATTAGAAATTTATCATTAAAAATAAAAATAAAATCAAATTTAACTGAAACAAAGAGAGAACAAACACCCAATCAATAAATTAAATGCCAAAATTTGCAGGAATTCAATTCAGAGAGAAACATACCAGCAAAGTCAATGACTTTATCGAACTTGAGAAAGCAGTGATTATGAAGAATATCCGATACCCCACCTTCAACAAAACAAAAATACCAAAAGCACCATATTTCAAGAAACCCAAAAGAGAAGAAAATAAATAAAGGAAAAAAAATGCTTGTAGAGAGAAGAAAATTAGTTACACTAAAAATGGCAAACTTAGGGCATGCATTGTTTGGCCTCCAAGGCCCCATATTTTGCAATACATAGATCTTGGGACCATCGTCGCCACCACCCATCTTTCACTCGTTGAGAACCCAACTTGAACTTCAAGGACCTAGAAATTTCTAAGAAATTTGCCCACGTCAATCAGGCTAAAGACCAAGTTGGCATTCCCAGAGGCTATGGAGAATTTTATCATACGGCTAAGAGAGAAAGAGGGTGTAAGATGATTGAGGGAGAGGTGAGATTATGGAGAAGGGTTTGTTGTGGTTAGAGACGCAGCCTACAACCTTGGTATTTTCTTTTTAATTTTCCCTTGTATCGCTCTTTCTAATACTTTCTTTATATTCCTTTTCAATCTGCAATGTTGGATGATAAGCGAAACCCTTCATTTTCGAGGCCATTCTTCAAGGATTTTTTATTTTTATTTTTAAAAATCAACCAAATTAGAAATCGTTTAGTCACTCGATTAACACTGTGATAAAAATTAAGTCAGTAAATGATTTTTGATATGGTCAATTTTTTTATAGAGATAATTTTTAAATGGACACTTAGAAGATAGACGATTCTAATGACCCAATAACATTATAAGATGATAACGAGAGATGAAAGAGGTTTGGAAAAGTAGTAAGTCAAGGTCACCCAATTCAAATGGGTCTAGAACAAGATAAAGTACAATAATAAACCAACCTCAACCAATATATTACATATACTTATATCTCTTGATCAAGTCCAAATCACATGGAACTTATTTAATAATATCATAGCATCAAGATACAATACAAACTCATTCTTCTTCTTTTTTTGGTTGAAATCAGTGCATTAATAAACCCAACAAGGGCAAGAAATACACAACTGGAACAGCTAGAGAAACAAATACAAAAGGGGAAGAATCCACTAGAACCAAGCTCCGGACTAGCTAAAGGATCAGAGCCTCTAACGAAAATTAAAACTAAACAAAATTCTAAGTTCAAACCGCTAACACAAAGCAGAAGACCAAGGCCAAATACTTTCACATTGGTTTTCTTTGAGTCGGCAACAATTTTGCTTGTCATTTGAGGGAGTTTTCAATGTATACCACAAACCGGTATTTCACATCCTTCTTTATAAGCCTCTCAATTGCTTCATTCACATACTGAATTGGTATTATTTCAATGTTGGGATATATTTTGTGAGCAGCACAGAAGTCTAGCATTTCTTGCGTCTCTTTTGTACCGCCTACTACGCTACCAGAAATCGATTTCATAACTGAAAAGTTTAAAGCTCAATGCATCATTAAATTTTCTAAAAGAGTCGGATGAACTCTGGGACTAAGCTAGATTTGTAAGTATATCACCAAACTATTCGAACGTTATGTGGCTAAATATTTCTATTTAGTTATGTTTAATTTGTTTTAGAGAGATCATTAACTTAAATTACAAGTTTTTTTATTACTAATTGGCGGGGGGCATTGCAACTCTTTAGGGTGGAACTATAAATTTGAAAAATAAAAAAATAAAATTCTGCGCAATGAAATTGGTAAATTACTCAGAATGAGGCTCTGAGGTTTCAATTTGACTTCATTTGGAGCCCCCAGCATGACCAAAACACTAGCAGTCTTCAGCAGTTACAAGTACTGTTCAAATGAGTGATCAGCAGAGACTGTGTCAATGATGAAGTCAAGTGACTTTGCCAGGGCCTGCATAAAATTCATGTGATTAATAACAAAAATTACAACAATCAATATATATTTATAATTTCCAGGCAAAAAAAAAACATTTTATAAATATAAATATATTGATTGTCTGCACCAAGCAGAGTTAGAGATTCCTCTTTCTTTGATATGCTTGTACTGAAAACGGTCACGTTTAGTCCCAAAGCCTTCCCAAATTTCACTGCCATGTGACCAAGGCCACCAAGTCCAATCACACCCAGGGATTTACCGGGCTGGTTCATCTTGTGGCGCATCATCGGAGAGTAAACAGTAATGCCAGCACAAAGCAGAGGTGCTGCAGAGGCCAATGAATAGGCATCTGGTATCCTGAAGCAGTACCTATAAATTCAACAACAAACAAAACTTAGATTATGGGGACGTTTGGAATGGATTCCATAGGAAACATTTTTGCTCACAACCACTTTTGCTAGAGGAACACTTGAAGAAAACATTTTGAGTCATTTCAGAAGTCATCCCAAACATGCTTATTTCATAAAAAAATTGAAATGAAAACTTGCCTATTTCCTTGAGCAATTAGGTCATTGTACTAACATAACATGGATTCCGAGTTTTTCTATTTCTAAATGGTGCATTTACATGCATTTCATTTAATTAACCATTACAACAATCTAATTATTAGACTCGGTGCCACAATTAGCCTAATCTTAACAGTTACGCTTTAATTAGGATTATGCTAGTTGATGTGACACCAAAGTCTAAAGAACAAGGCTAGATTAAATATACCATTTGTAAAGGCAGAAGCTCGAGATCCGAAGAAAAAAACAAGCCAATTTTAGTTTTGCAAGCATGGGGAGATAATCTAAGTGAAAAATGGATCACTAATTAATTACCTTTGATGGACAACAATGTAAGTGGAAAACCCTCCTTGTGTAATAGTACCATCCACATCAGGACGGTTATAAGTGTAAACTGAGTGTAAACTGGTCCCTTCTCACACTAAGCTTCCAGGCGCCCATTACAGTAATCACACTCTCTGCATGAATTCACATAGGTTCCCACTCCAACATGATCACCAACTTTGAAGCCGCTCACATTGGAACCAACCTCTTGCACAATTCCAGCAATCTCATGTCTTTATATTTGTACGTACAAATATCAACAAGAAAAAAATGAATTAAGAATTAATCCTATCATTATAAAATCATTAATTAATAATTAATTAACCCAGGCACGAAAGGGTAGGTGTCATCTCCATGTTTGTTCCTCGGAAAAACCACTTCAGCATAGCAAACTCCACAGTGTGTAATCTTTACGGAAACATCATCACTCTGAACAGCCCTGCATATTAATTAACAAATTAATCCATTCAGCAGCAACGCTTGAGCGCTGTAAAGATGTTCTTCAAATAAAATTATTTATCAAGAGATATCTCTCGATTGAAACTCCCTCTATATATACCTTCGGGTAAATTTGTAAGGCGATAGAACCCCAGAAGCGTCTCTTGCAGCCCATCCCAGACAATCAGTTGCATTTTCTGAGCTCATTGTTGCATGCATATGTTATGTATATCAACCCTTAGATATATGTCGAAGTTGTGGTTTTTGTTGATTTGTAGCTATTTATATGAACATTTACAGGGGGTATGATATGACATGTAATAGGCCAACGATGACATGAGTCTCCACGTGCCATCATTTCCATTTGAGAATAAATAAAAACAAAAAGAAAGAGAGAAAAGGGAAAAGTAGGCATCTCTCTTATGTTCATGGAAATGGACCTATATTCAAACCTGATCAAACAAATTAAAATAAAATAATAACTGTGGCATCTTTTTTCTTCTTCTTATTTTTATTGCCTGCTCATGATTTCCCTCGTGAAGTAAAATTCAACTTTCGATCAGATTCATATTATGTAATGCACGCCCTTCTAATATGACTTTTTGGCATATATACCGTTTCTCACAAACTTCTGTTGTATTCCAAAGGGGAGCGGATCCCTTGTCCCCAATTAGGGGGCTTGGCCCGAGGGCGACGGCCATTGCCCCAAATTTGAGGGGCCCCAAAATTTTCTTATATATATATCAAGAATTTTATAGTGAAAGTCTTATATATGGCCCTTAAATAAGGTATTATCTTTTAATTATTGTATCAAATTAGTTAGCCGTTAAATCAAATTGATTAGCCTAATTCAACGGTTAAAAGATAGACCTCTCACCTAAGGGCTTATCTTACCAATTTTTCTTAAGTGTCCAAAACTATGAGAGCCCAAATAAAAATTAATTCAAATTCTTTAGTACAAGAATTCTTTGGTTCGTTCAGATGAGGGAAAATAACTCAGAATTAACTAAAAGTGAGGAATTTAAGAGGAGAAATTGACAATTCCCTTGTTTGGTAACTTAAGCACGGAATTTATTAAATGACACAAGGAAAAAATTGTGAAAATTGGGGCATCAAATTCCCAAGTTTAATTTCTACCAAAATAGGCGTCATTTCACAATTTTCATAGTGTCATTTACAAAATTCTAGCATTTACAAAATTCGACATATATAAATCCAAACACTGAAATTTTCAATTGCTAGAAATTGAAATGATGGAAATCTAAATTCCGTCATTTAGAATTCTATGTAATTATGAATTCATTCATCCAAACAGAGGGTTAGTGACTTATCCAATCAAATCCTAAGTGAGTGATCTAGAGCTGGAATTGGTAGAGGGAGGAATTGTCATCGTTATCGTTGTTGTGGTGATATGTTGTTTAGGAGATAGCGAAGAAAGAAGAGAATAAAGCAGGAGAGGAAAAGAGACTTAGTATACATATATGTATTTAAACGTATAGCCGCGGGCTATACTACACTTAAAAATTAAAAATAAAAATAGTATAGCCAAGTGCCTATACTATTTAAATATTTGGATATATTCAAAAAGGGTAGCCGCTCGGCTATACATAAAAATAAAAAATAGTATAGCCGAGCGGCAATACTATAAATAAATAAAAATAGTATAGCCGATCTTCTAATATATTTAAAACGCATAGGTGCACCGCTATACTTGAAAAGAAAAGTAGTGTAGCTGTGCTGCTATACTATACTTACAAATAAAACAATATTATAATTAATTCAAACAAAGAATTTATGAATTCAATGAAGCTAGTTAAGATCAATGGAGGGGTGCCTAGTCAAGTACTTGATATCCAATTATGGATGAGCCACTTATATATGGATTCAAAGAATTACTGCACAATTGGGAAGGCCTGATAAGCATCTTAAAGCATTTAGTGCAAACTAAAAACTACTAGTGTTTGTACAATATCTGGCAAAGCACTCCCAAACCAATCCAAGCAAAGGAAGAAGAGTCCCACATCGACAAAACAGAAAAAACGGGGACTCTCCCTCACTTATAAAAGGAGACTTCTCTCCTTCAAGAAAAGAGAGTTAGACAGGCTACTAGGGCACCATATGGCTCATAAGGGCCTCATGGGCTTACTCCTAAGCCCATTTACAAGTCCACATATCATTTGCCTTCAGCCAGATCCTCCGCCTTCGGCCCTCAGCCTTCGGCCATCAGCCTTCGGCATTCTTCCTTCTCTCCTTGGGTCTAACCCTATGTGCAATGTATACAGTCTTTATCATAATGAGAACATACTTCTCCGTGGACGTAGCCCATTATTCGGGTGAACCACGTACATTTGTCTTCTCTATGCATGCCTATGTACTTACCGAATGCTCTCACATACCGAGGGTCCTCACCTTCATCATCCTCCTCCTCATCTTTAAGTTGGTCTAATTACTACTGTCTAGTTTTTACCTCAAACAACTAGTAATTGCAATCAGGACGGAATATCAGTATTAGTAGAGGTGCTGGTTGGCTGCTGCCATATTTCTTCCATCACTGTTAGGTGTAAGTCACGAACATTTACCGAAAAATGACTGGATGATGAATTTCCATTAACTACAGTCTACATATGCATCTTTGTTATGTCAAAAGCACACATGTTCTAAGAGAAAATCTCTCCATCCTCACTGGTTTACACAAGTTATGAAATATATGATCATCGATGCATAAATGTGCTCCAGCCAGTTTGTTGGAAATTTTGAGTTTGATTATTCACATAGGGGCAGTCATTAAGTTATCAACCCTAATTTTACATTATGCGGCGCTTCTGTAGTTTAGCCTTTGCTTCATTTTTTTTTAAACATGATACGAAGGGAACTAAATTTCATGGCTGTTGTGAAGGTTTCCGAAAATGGTATTAAGGTAGAAGAATTTGATTACAAAACATTTCCTTTCTTGATATATATTTTCTTGTTTTTTAAGATTACTGTAGTTAGAGATATGCTTTTCAAATATAAGTTGGCAAGTGTTGGCGAAGTTGTAAGTTTATTAATTGTAGAAGCTAATAGGAAGCAATACATTTCTGGTAAAGAATGAACAGGGCTAGTTCAAATGCTAGTGGACATGTAACAACTGATATAGCACGGAATTGTGGGTATAGCTCAATCTTGAGTTTGATAAAATGTCTATATCATTGAGTGTTAATATCAAACTTTTTTTGTTACAAAAAGTATAATATCAGTTGTTCCTGTTCCTTGTTAAATTCTCTCTCTTTCTCTCTCTCTCTCTCTGAGGCACTAAAGTAAAATTGGTTACTAGTTTAATGAATGAACCTTGCTAGCTATCATTTGACCCAAAAAAGTTAAAACAAACAGATGATGATGATCCATAGTTGGATAGGGTTAGCCATTGGCTTGAGTGAGTGAGTCGATCAGTCCACTACAACCAGAGATTGATAGGCTAGGGGGGAGATTTCTGCTTCCATGGTCTGTTCGGGATCCCTTTCCAGGATTTCCCCATCAGTGTCCAAGAACCACTTGACCAACTTGTGGTTCTCGTAGTAGGAGGAGTCGATCACATCTAAATACTCTATCTGTGGTACCACTTCCCCGTACCCTTTTTCCTTGAACTTGCTCTGTATTGCCTCATATTCACTCTCCCATGGATGTGCCCAAGCCTCGTCACAGTCTAGGTAGGTGGTGATCACAAATACCTTGTTGATCATCTGTTCTGGCTTCAAATTCCCATGCACAACAACTTGTAGAATCAAATCAAACACCTTTTGAATATCAACCTCTCCCTTCGGGTCCGGGCAGTCCATCCTCCTCAAAAAGTCGCACTTGGCCTTGAGGTTATCGCCTTGTGGTATGCAATGCAGTTGAGGGTTTCGGCTGAAGTTGATCACCTTTCCTTTCCATGCCGGCTCTTCACTCAGTTCAGACACTAACAGTCCCAAGCCCAACGATACATCAATGGGGAATCCACTCATTCTTGAGGGGCAGACATCACAAATAGCCAAGCTGTTGTTCAAATTCATCTTTTTCTTCTTAGTGTTGCCTATGCCTGTGCTCTTGATCATGTCCCCTAGCATTGCGTTCCACTGAAGCTCAGCCACTTGCCCGAGATCCTCATCGTTCACATAGCGTATGATCTGATGTGGAAGCAGAGCCACAGGGTTCTCAATCTTGGAAGCTGCAGCTTTCAATTCCTCCAAATATATCTGAGACATGTAGTCGTCTTCATCAAACTTGCAATCATAATCCCACCTGTTGCACTCGGGAGGTTTATTAAGTGCAATGTCATAGTCCGAGGCAGTCATCTTCCTCAAGGGCTCCACAACCTCCTTCATTAGCTGCTCTCGGAGTCTGTAGGCATAACCAACATGCTCCTCCTCATCCTCCTCCTTAACATCTCTTTGTGGGTGTCGATGCTGGAAAACCTTCCTCACAACGCTCTCCAACAGGAAAGTGGCTCGATGGTCGAGCCAATCGGCCGTATTAGTGATCTCGAAGCACTTATTAGAAGAGGACTCATCATTATCATGATCATCAACATTAATATTATCATCCATTTGCATCCCCTTCTTCAGAAGTTGAAAATCACGGTTGAGGCAGTGGGCGAAAAGATCCGAAACGAGGTCGTGTAACAAGCGATAATCGGGGTCAGTCTCATACCTCTGTACAGCCACCTTGTCAGCCATGGCGAACATCATCTCTTCATCGACCTCGTCTTGGCCTGCAAGAATCCGGTGGAGAATCCGCACAAGGTCTCTCATACCACCACCATATCCAAACCAAGCGGCAATAGGCAGGAGGTTGGAGGCGAGGGTCTTGGGGTGGTTGTGGTGGAGCCAAAACGCCGCCTTGTAGAAGGCTTCGGCATCTGTTACTGAACCTGAACGCCTGTCTAAGAGGTTGCAGATGAGCTTGAGGGTGGTTAAGGGATTGTGGGACCAGGCAACCGGGAGGAGTTGCTTCAGATACCTGTGGTTGGCCTCTACTTTGGCCGGGTTGTCCCGATGGTAGACGTTGAAACACAGATCAAGGCAGGGGTTGTTAATGCAAGGGTCTGTTGCTGTTGTTGAGGGTGAGGGGGGGTGGTGATTCTAGCAGTGGTAGCTCTGTATGAGGAGGAGGAGGAGACGCCATTAATCTTGTGAGTCCACCGCCCATGACATTCAAATGGCTGCCGCGGCATGCTTTCAGAGTTGAGA